AAGGAACTCTGGAAGGATAAAAGGGAGGAGTGACGCCAGTGAAAGACGAGAGAGGACCAGGCCTGGACTTTATTTTATTTTATTTTACATTTAAACAAAAATTTCATAATAAAAATAAAATTATGATAATTATGATTATAATAAAACAAAATGAAAGTAAAGCGGCAGCCCCTCGCGGACGACTGCCGCACACAAAACACAAAACAAAGTCCAGGCCTGGTCCTCTCTCGTCTTTCACTGTGAGAGTGAGACTACTGAGAGCACTAGTTTGGTTAAATCTATGTCCAGGCATGCTTTGAGACCTAATATAGGCGGTGCTTGCATGCTGACTATGTAAAAGTTCATCAGTGTTTTTCTGTCCTTGTATCTGCACGACAACGCGCAAGTCCCTTTTACTGTGAGCATTTGACCACCATTTCCAGTGAGACTGTGCCCAGACGGTGCCCAGTTTTTAGTCTATGAAATGTGTGCAGTGGAATGACATTTACCTGTGCTCCGTTGTCCAAATTGAAACTACCTTCAGTTTCTTCTTTTCCCAGCAGTATGTCTGCAAATGCTTGTTCTGTGTCACCTGGCTTTTGCAAGACTGAATCCACGAAAAACTCTGCAGGTGGGCCTTCCTCTTCATGAGGATCCTCTTTGCTCACTGCATGAACATTCCTTTTGTAAGCAGAACGACATACTTTCACAAAGTGATTGCGTTTTCCGCATTTACCACACTGTTTGCCTTTAGCAGGGCATTTCTCAGACGGACCACGAGCCTGGTTGCCAAAGTAACCACAACTTCTGCCACGCTCCGCAACGTCATTTCTGCTCCGATGTGAAGCTTTCATTCCAACCTTCCCCGCTCGCTTCTGTGACTCTTTCTGGGTGGTGACAGCGTGCACTGCTTGATCACGGGGTTGTATGCACTGTTTGCAAACGTTTTCAGCTGAGCTTGTGCAGCTTCGTGCAATCGGGCTATATCCATGGCCTTGTCTAGCGTTAACTCAGAGCCGACACTCAACAGCTTCTCCCGCACTCTCGGAGAGTGAATGCCAAACACGATGCAATCTCTAACCATTTCCTCACTGTCTGCATAAGCACAGTCTTTCACTAATAGTCTTAGTTCGGTCACAAATTCCTCAAAACTTTCGTTGGCTCCTTGTACTCACTCATTAAATTTATATCTGGAGAAAATTGTGTTCATTTTGGGCATCACATATGCTTCATACTTGTTGTAGTATGTTTGCAGTACCTTTGCTTCATCTGTCGTCAGTGCCCAGCTGTTGAGATATCTCTTCCTTTTTTTCCTATCCACAGGAGCAAATAACTGCACTTTTCGTCTTTGCCTTTTTTTTCAATGGACCCGCGAACATGAGCTTTGCATGCTGTCTGAACTTACGCCATGCATCCGGTAAGTTAGATGATTCCCAGTTCATGTGCGGCGATGGTACTCCTGCAAATTCCATTTTTATTTACTTTTCTTCTGATACCATGTCTTATTCTTTGTTTGTTGCTTTTACTGCAGAGTGCATGCAGTTTTAAATAAGGAGACGAACAGTGGAGACCAAACAAACTTGAGCTTTTAATCCACTGCCTGCAACCGTATTTTACATGTGACCAATCACTGCCGATACCCGCCAATCTCTTGCCGTAGTACCGTAAATTAGTGTCGCAAATATTCAGTGCTTACGTGAATATTACAGGAGTGGGGGGGACTAGACAGAAAAAGGTTAACAAGTTAACTCGTGATTAATCGCAACTTAATCGCATATTTTTATCTGTTCTAAATGTACCTTAAATTAATACTTTTCAAGTTTTTAATACTCTAATCAACATGGGCATGAACAAATATGGATGCTTTATGCAAATGTATGTTTATTATTAGTGAAAACATATTCAACATAGAGCATTAAGACTAGATATGTTTCAAAGGTCATAGATGTTTTTTTAAATTACTTGTTCATGTCTATTAGACACATGAAAAAAGAACATAGAAAGGTTCCCATTACTTCTCTTTCTTTGCACTGAGCAATTTACTTACACAAGCCTGTTTACATTTTTGCTTGACAGGACAGCTCACGTCTTCTGAACATGCAAAATGTAGCCTACATTTATTATTTATTATTACATTTGTTTGCCTCTCTGTGCCCACATACTGTATTTTGATGCAGCTAAATTCTCAATAAAACTTTTTTTATTGATCATGATATATTTAGTTTCTGTTGTCAGACAATGGAATGAATATGAAATAGTGACTGAAACATGACCCATTAAGACTACATAACCAACTCCCCCTTCCAAGATGTTAATCTGCACAAAAATCCTGATAATCGAGCCGTCATCTGATGAAATTAAATAGGCTACACATAAGATAAAGACAATAGCTGTGCTGTGATTTCAGCTATACTTGCATGTAAAATTAGAGAAGCAACATAATATCTGTTTTTTTTTTTTATGAAATCAACAGAGCAGACACAGAGAAAGAGGTGCGCGCACAACGGGAAAGCGAGACCTCGCACTGGTGTGGCAGTACCGGTAAGTCTCAGAAACCAAATAAGGTTCAAAGGTCAAATAAGGGGGCTCACGTTGCTGAATCTAGTGCCAAAGCGGCTAAGTTGGCAACACTGAGCAACTCCATTTCTCCAACTACGGGCTAGACAAAGGGTCAAACAGTAAATGCGCGCTGCATTAATCGCGCGTTAATAAAATTAGTGTCGTTAAAATGAATTTGCGTTAACACGTTCATTTTGAACTTTTGCCATCTGGTTGGTGTTACAGAGCACCGAATACCAGGACAGCCAGGCACAAGAACAGTTTCTTTCCCCAGGCAATCTACCTCATGAACAGTTAATGTTCTCCCATTGTGCAATTAAAGTATGTGCAATAACCTTATACTTATTTATCACCCTAAATCCTAGTACATCCCTACAACTTTATTTTATTTTATTCTATTCCTATTCTATCTATAGCACACCTGTACATACAATTTATTCTTTTTTTGTGGTTTATATTTATGCATGTGTATTTTATTCACATCT